GTTGTAACCAAAATCCCAAAGTTTTTATTTTTTCGGAGTTTGACAAACTGATTCTATAACCTGTATGAGATGCAAAACACTAAGAACTGCCCAAACACTGTTGGGAAAGAATAAGATCAGTGGATGGAGCAGCTTGGCCAACCAAGGGGTCCTGGCCTGGGTGAGACCCTGAAACCCGCCCTTGTGTAGAAGTTCTGAGCTCTGGGCCAGGCCTCACCCTGTTGGCCACCTGCATTGCTCTTGAGGTGGTTGAGGGCTCCACAGAGCAGAGCCTGGCTGGGCCTGGACTGAGTGTGGTAAGATCCCGAGCAGCCCACCCACTGCATGGGTAGATGTAGCTCTGTGAAGATGGACACCCTAGAGGAAGAGAACTTGGCGCTGTCCTCCTTTGCAGCTGATGCAGAATTTGATGTATTTGGGTATTTAGAGAACATTAGCATGGATGACAAGTTTTAGTTACTACAGAGAGATTTCACGGGCAAGTACAACCAGGAATTTGAAGACATAGAGGAGAATAAATTCATCTGCACTCCCATTTTTAATGAATATATTTCTCTAGTGGAAAAGTACATTAAAGAACAGCTGCTGGAGCGGATCCCAGTATTCAACATGGCAGCTTTAATGACTGTGTTACATAAACATAACTTTGATTGTAAGAATCCAGACACAAATGAATATATACATGTTATGTAATTCCATTTATATGAAGATTTAAAAATAGGCAATACAGATGGGAGGAGGACCTTCTGTGACCTATTGGTCCTGTTTTTCTGACTTGGGTGGTCACTGTAAGGAAATATTTCAGGCTGTACCTTTGGGGTTTTTTGAAGTTTTCTCTATGTCATAGTTCACAGTAAAAAGATTTAGAACTATTAAGAAATAGTGGATATTTTTGTATGCCCAGGATAAAAGAAGTGATATTCTGGGCATGGTAATTTGCAGATGTTTTTCCCTGACCTACATGCAGAAATAGAAACTGTATTTATTAGGCTCATCACAAAAGTTCTGCAGGAAGAAAGAAAGGGGAAAAGGTTTAGGAGTGAAGTGAGACTTCATAAGATGGAAATATTTTTTAAAAGGGGGGTATATTGGAGAAATGATCAAAGACAGACATAATTAAGTCCTATGGGTTCAGACAAGGACACCAGACATGTTCTGAGAAAACAAAAGATACTGAACTCAGACAGACAATTGGTGCCTAAGTAAAAATACGCTGGTGAACTGCCTGGGGCTCAGAGAGGAGTGCTGGATGAGGGACTTGGGGAAGCATTAGAAGAGCTTAGGAAACATAATTTGAGCACAAGAGAGAAACTGTGCCACCACACAAGAAAAATCAGTTCTGATATGTGTCCTACCCACCAAGGAATCACTGAAGAGAAAAACATGGAAGAAAGCTGAACAAAGCTCATTTACACTAGATACTACACGTTATTTTGATGGTTTTCCAATACAAATTTGAAATGTGCTGTGTTGTGTCCTGCCCAAAATATATAATTCTATTATTCACAAGTGAGGGGCAAAGTTCAATCACTCAAATGGCTAAAACAAAAAGTCTGCAAAATTTGTTTTGCATATTAGCTAAAGAACTTGGGGAGGCATTACAGGGACATAAGAAATATGATTTAAGTGATAATCTCTAAAACAGTATGTATACCCTCCAAGAGGCATACAGGAAAGTATCATCTGTGGTATTAAGAAAATATTATAGGCTCATTTTATCTTACCTCTTATTTATTATAAGTATGCTTATTTCATTGCCCCTGATATGTTATATATGCTTTGTAATGCACAAAATGTACGGACAAATATGCTTAATTATTAGTTTATTCTTCAACAGATATAAAGTGTACAGGAGAGAACAAGATAGAAAAACCTCTGCCCTTATGGAGTTTACATTCTAGTTGGCATTACAGTGTAGTCTATAAAGAAATATATCATAAAAGGACAAGTAGTAACACATGCTATAAAAAAATTAAGTAAGAGACAGAGAATGGTAGGAGGGAAATTGTTTATACTGGCAAATTGGGGAAAGCTCCTCTGAGGAGATCACAGGTGAGCAAAGATGGAATGAATAACTGAGTGACCCAACCAGAAAAGGTGTGAGGAACTGCATGTCAGCCAGAGCAGTGTGCAGTGTGTGGTAAGTGAGGGGTAGAGAGGTAGAAATGGCAGGACAAGAGCCAACACCATGCCGGGATTTAGCTCAGTGGTTTCGCTGCCTGTTGCGCAGGTGCAAGGACGGGAGTTCAATCCCCGGTAGCACCCCCCCCAAAAAAATTAAAACTAAAAGAGCCAGCACCAGGCTTCATGATCCATGGTGTAGCCAGGCTGAAGGCTAGGGTAGTAACAGCACCCTGAGTAACTAAGGCTGCAGGTAACAACAGTATTGCAGGGAATTTAAAAATAAAACCAACTCAATGTTGCTTTTTATTGTCATGTGATCATATTTTATACATCAGTAGTAAATGATGTATCAGTAGTAAATACTCATCTTCAAAGAGACAGCTCCTCCATACAGTAAAATTTTAATTAATACATGTGAGAGAAAAGAGGGAAATAGCAAATTACCATTAGTCACATGCCACAGCAATAATCACTAGAGATGAGATCCATTCGTGAATGTATATTAAAGTTAATGGGAAAATTAAGTAAGATGCTAACATAAGAGGAAGGGTGGTGAGGAATATATAATTCTTCATATTATACAACATTTCTATAAGTGTAAACCAAGTTCAAAATAAAAAACTTATACCCTTTTAAGCTTTGAAATATTTCTCCTACCCTGGTAAACCATTGCCCCTACTCTCCAACCCTCATGATGTGCCCCTGCGTAGAGCTTTGTATTTTGTTTGAAGTATGATGGAAATCCTCTGATGCTTGAAGAACGGAGGAGCAATGTGATTTGATTGATTGATTGATTGATTGATTTTTGGTACCGGAGATCGAACTCGGGTCCTTGCATTTGCACAAAAGGCGGCGAAACCACTGAGCTAAATCCCCGGCCCTTGTGATTTGACTTTTTATTAAAACTTTTTTTTTCTTTGGTACCGGGAATCGAACTCGGATCCTTTCGCTTGCACACCAGCCGGAGAAACCACTGAGCTAAATCCCCGGCCCTTTTTATTAAAATTTTATTAAATTATATCATAATGTTTGTTTAAATTTTATTTTTTATTACATGGGCATCAAATCAAAAGTAGACTAGGGAATTGTATAAGAAAATTATTTTACTAAGGAGAAACCTAAAGACTTTTTTTCAACACATGAGAAATTATTGCTCTAATTATTGCATAGTCTGAATGAGGATATATGTGATGAGTCGCAATATGAGAGGAAATATGAGAGGATTTTAGTCAGGAATAAGCATGACTGTATTAAGACTTGGCTGAGACACAATTTATCCTGTAAGAGTTGTGCAGTTGCTCTCAGTGACATGATTTAGTAAAAGTCTTGTCTCCAAATAGTTTCTCTGGATCACTTTCTTTTTTTTTTGGATCACTTTCAATTTTGTGATTTTGTATTACTCACTCCTCTGTTGTCAAATTTTATTTCTAAAGATATATATGCATATATATACATATACATATATTCCATATATATATGGAATTGTTTAAGAAATGGTAAACTTTACGTAAGTCGTTTTAGTGTCCAGGAAGTTAGATAAAGCATTAGCCACAAGATCTCAAACTGGCAGCCTGTGGGTAGAATGTGGCCCACATGTATGTTTTGTTTGGGCTGCATGTTGCTTTAAAACAGTTGAGTCACTATTTTTCTGGTACCGGAGATCAAACTTGGGTCCTTGCGCTTGCGCAGCAGGCAGCAAAACCACTGAACTAAATCCCCGACCCCGAGTCAGTATTTTTAAAAAATCAAAGGTTTTAAATTGTAATTTGAATTTCTGTCTTCCCTTGAAAAATGGGAAGATCTAACAATATTGGGTCTACATTCCCGTAAAGCAGCAATCAGCTAGAGATGAGTTGGGCAGCGCCCTCAGGAGGTCTCCATAGATGAGGCTGCCTTCCCAGTGTGCCCATCGCCCCACACAGTATGTTTAGATTACTTGAATCCAAATTGCGTCTTTTATATGTTACACCTGGCTCCTGCAGGCATTTAAATTTGGGGCATCTGGATAGATGATGAACCCTCATAAAATCCTGCTTTCTTCCCTTTTCTAGGAATCCCCTATTCCAGAAGACAAAGATCGTCGATTTATCTTCTCTTATTTTCTAGCCACTGATATGATCAGTATCTTTGAGCCTCCTGTTCGGAATTCTGGTATCATTGGGGGCAAGTACCTGGGCAGGTCTAGAGTTGTGAAGCCTCTCTCTCCAGTGGACAACCCCATCTACTATGGCCCTGGTGACTTCTTCATTGGTGCTGTGATTGAGGGTGGGTCTAAATACAGATCAGAATTTCCTACTGGCGGGGCAAATAGGTTCTTCTTAATTGTGATTTAATTCACTTAAGCTTTGTAAGAGTCATTTGGGCTATATTTCAGCAGAGATAAAGCTAATATTTTTATATAAATGACATAATGTCTTAATCTCTTTCCTTTTTAAACAAACTCTGTATTTGGTGCATTTCCCCCCGCAAAATCAGTTGCATTTATTGGTTACATTTATTAGATGTTGATACTGAACTTCCTAAACCCTAAGAAGACTGCTGCATATAAATTTATACAGCTATTGAAAATTCTTTAGTCTGGGCCACAAATGCATATCTGTGGATTTGTCATTGAGGGTTCCTATTATTTACTCCTGATTCCATGAGAGAAACGTAATCAAACCAAGTGTACTGCTATTCTTTCTCAGTATTTGGCCACCGGTTCATCATCCTTGATGCAGATGAGTATGTTTTAAAATACATGGAGAGCAATGCTGCCCAGTTTTCACCAGAAGCATTCTCATCAGTTCAGAACCGTATCCAAAAGCAAGAAGCTGCTGCACCAGAGTTGGAAAAGTATGTCTGACTGCTGAGGGTCCTTTTTGGCTTCAGTACGCACAAGCTATTCAGGAAGTAATTCTTGCTAAAACAGATTGGTAATCATTTTAGATTTTCAAATTTCTTTCACGAGGTGGGAGTTATTAGACCTACACAGAAGGTTTCCTGGGTCCATTATAATGACTAATAACTTAAAAATGTTCAACTTCATTTGCTTAGTAAGTAATCATAATGGAATGACTGTGTTTCAGATGCTATCACTAGGCCATTGGGCTTTATTAACAAAATAGACAAGTTGCTGCCCTCGTGGAGCTAACCTACTAAGGAGCAGGAGCTAGACAGTCACACAAATAAGTAAATTAAGTAGATCAAGTGATAACTGGTGTGGAAAAATGGAACCAACATAGATGATATGAGTTTCTGGGGCCAGGGATTTAGCTCAGAGGTTCTGCTGCCTGCCTCGCAAGTGGAAGGACCGAAGTTCAATCCCCGGTACCAAAAATAAATAAAAGAGTTTCTGGAGAGTGACAGTGGGTTGCAGTTGCTCAGGGTGGGTGGCTCCACCTTGAAAATGTAACATTGAACAAACACAGGTAAGGGATGAGTTGAGAGTAAGAATACACCCTCCAGTGGCCTTCCTCAACCAGGCCCCACCTCCTTATAGCACAGTCAGCTATGAACTCATCTGTGGATTAATCCACTGGTAGGTATAGTGTCCCTATGATCCCCTCACCTTCCATACACATGAGACTTTAGGGGATGTTTTAGATCTAAACCATAACACACAGCCACTCCTAATTGCTGCTCCAAATGTATTAGGAAGAAGCGGAAGGATGAATATTGGGAAGGTAAGCACCACCGTCACTCAGTACACCCACTGCTGCTTACCTACTCCTCCACAGTACCTGCTAACTAATCTTACCATGTTTGCTCTTCCTTAACTCATTACACACTTCTACTGGACCAGTCATCCTGGAACTTGGCTCTGAATTCACATTTAAGAAGTTGCCAAATAGAATGCAGAAGATCATCAAGAAGGTCATACACCCTGACCAGGTGGGATTCATTCCAGGGATGGAGGGATGGTTCAACATACACAAATCAATCAATGTAATATACTATAGCAATAGAGCCAAGGACAAAAACCATATGATCATCTCAATAGATGCAGAAAAAG